TTAAGAAATCTTCTCACATTCTATTATGTGAGCATTTCTAACACCAAAAAAACACAAAAAATGCATGTGTGTTCAAAGCAGAACCTCATTTTATTGTTCTCTGCTCAGTTACACTTGAAAACAATACTCAGTAATCCAAAAGCAGAGAATGTCTACAAAGTAAAGGCTGCCTAAGCATGGTATCAACAAAAACAGCTTTCCTTCCCTTCGAAGACTTGATTCTTGTTCCAAAATACTGCCAGCTAAGTCCTTCTAGTTGCCCACAACCCAACATCTGCCATGGTAGCTTCCTCTAGCAAGGCCACTAAAAGACAAGGGCACAAGGTCCTGCCTGACAGCTGCCTGGACTCTGTGAGTATTGTAAAATAACAGGGTATTCCATTTAACCATAGCTCAGGCTATGTTAGGAAGAACAAAGAACCAAGTCACAAATTCATAATCCAAAATACATGGAATTTAACACACGGCAATTTGAGACACAAGTGTTACAATACTGATTTTTATGGAACTGCATCTTGTATCCCAGCTGAAGCACAAATGAATGAAAGCAATTAAATGGCTCTGAAATGCTATTTTCCAGTCATACATTTTATAATTAACACACCTCTTCCATAAAGATTCAAAGCTAACAGTTCACATCCTGAGCACCAACGCCTACCAGGAAGCTAACAGAAGGGGTCAAAGTCAGATTGCCTTTACAATTTCCTGTAGACAGATGAAGGTGCTGCCTGCTGTTATTCCCTCATTTACTTCAGGTGAAAATCCATAGTATACACATCAAAGTCATAAATTTGCTGATCACTCCTTCAGATGTGGAAACTGTTAGCAGTTGTCTTATCTCAGCTTCCACAAGTTCCATTCCCTCCCTACAGTAGTGCTATTCTCTCATTTTGATGCTATTTAAGGCAGTACACACACACACACAAAGTACCACAGTGACCACATGAAGGACTCTCTACTAAAAATAAGACCATCCCAAAATCATGTTGTCACCTCCCTACCTCAGTGAAAACTGTTCTCAAGAAACAAGAGTTTGAGGACAAGCTACCTAGGGATTAAATCTGTGGTTCAGATTTTCATCTTTGAAGTCTCCTGACCTACAAAAACCAGACAGCCCCCATGCATACACCTGTCCCTATCTGTACTACTAAAGAGCTAAGCCTAATAAAACAAAGAAAAAAAAAAAACAAATTCAGCAAATCTGAGTGATATAAGATACAAAAAGTTTTACTGAAGTATAACTCAGCCTTGTTGCTATTTGTCTGTCATCAAATTGATGACGATAGGAGACAGAGCAAACAAGTTCTGAAACAGAAAACAATTATGCCAGATGAAGACGACAAGTTCTGAGGAAAGTGATAGTTTTAAGTTCGGTTGCATAATCTGGTTTCTCATTTTCTGACTCAAGATCTTCTATAAGGCAAAGTTTGCAGAAGAGTACTGTGCTTTGATGAAATAAATTGCCCAACAGATGTTTTTGGTGTTTTACTTTTTGCTTAGTCAAAACTACAGTTGAAATGTTACCTCAGTTCTGCCTCCATAGCTCACCGTTTATTTCTGTCAAGCCAAGTATTTTGTTTACTAACAAAAGAAAAAGTATGTCATGAACTGTTGTCAGGGAATCAAAATAAACTTTTTAGACCCAGCGTGTTAAAAAAAGCATAGCTGAAAGGTAAGGTTGGAGGAAAGCCTATTATAACAAGCAAAAGCAGGGGTGGCAACAGTAAAACCTCATTTGTCCTGCTAAAAAAGAATACTGAAACATTTTGACAGTACTAAAAAAATACTGCCTTTAACACAAAGCGAAACCTTCAGTAACCCAGACTGTGGTTTTGTATTTCCACTGTAAAACATAAAGATCCCTATGATACTTTAACAGCCCGTCTAACTCCACGCTGTAACGTATTTCATAGTTATATTTCAATAAGGTACACTTTATATTGCCAACCAAATACAAACATTTACAGCGTGACAGAGCACAAACTTTTGAAACATAACCCATTTGGGGGAGAAAACAGATGGAAGACTGAAGAGGTAACACCATAGAAATAACTTCAAGGCAGGCATAAAGGAAAGTACTGCTATTAATAATAGTAAAGCAAAGGCTAAAGGCACAACTCTTTGCTAGCAACAGTGAATATACCTGGAACCTGCTAATGAAATCCTTCTGAACTCTGCCTGCTATTCCTACAGTCAGTAAAGATTTTCCTGTGTTTTTCAGACTCAGACTGTCAGGTTTTACCATGTTTTGTTTTCCCTTCTTTGTTAGTTTAGAAAGCCATAAGTGCAGAATGAAAGGCCTGCTGCTTACAAAACGGGACAAAATGTTTAGTAACAATCACTATCTTGTAGCTGTGCTTGTTAAGGGAGACACGCTGCACAGCCTAGGAAAAGGAAAAGGAGTCAGAACCCACAGACAGTTCTAAGTTACAGCTTTACAACTGACACAACAGTGCAAGTTGGACAGATGACAGCAGTCTTGGATTTTAGGCTTTTTTCACCACTCGAAAAACAACAGTAATTTTCCCATCTGAAATCCTTCAGAAGTATCCTTAATAAGTTGTAGATATTAACAGCATGCATCTGATCTAATTAAGAACTCCTTACAGAATAGGTAGAACTACTTAAATCTGATATTCCTAATTTTAACTTGCTTTTGGGAGAATATCTATTATAGTCATGAAAATGCTACTTAATTTTGGTTTAGAAAATTCTGTCAATACATTTAAAATGACAACTGGGAAAACAGAACAAAGCAAACAAAGAGCAGGGTCCTGATTCCCACCCTCCTTCCCCGAGCCCCCAAACTATAGTTTTTCAGCTTCAACTCAACTAAGAAAAGCAGTGCTGGAAACCAAGTTTTCTTCAGAAGGCCATTTGTTCCTAACTCCAAAGCACAGTACAAGCTTTTATTAGTCCTCAAAAAAAAAATCCATACAAAAAGTAAGAAGTTAAAACCAAGCAGAATATTAAAATCATGCAATCCAGCACATCAGTTAATCACTCCAACAAGGGAAATAATTTTTGCAATGACACAGTTACTCTGAAAGAAATAAATCCAGTTGAAGTATATAAAAATAAACTACACAAAGAAAACCAAAAATCCATTTGACATCTCTAACCCTGCCAAGGCACCCATCCAAGTACAAGCAACAACTACCCAGCAATTCAGTCAGCCTATATCAACATTTTATTTGGGCACACATGGAAGAAGAATGGGATTCTTTCTTCAACATGGGAATTAAACTCCTTATCAGAAATGAGCAGTTTAAAACTGATAAAAAAGTAAGGCAGTACCTGCCATTTAGGAGGTACCCAAACCATATTTTTGCACCAGTGAGTTACTTCTGAGCACTGGCATTTCGACTCCTCTCACATCAGGAAGTTGCTTCCTTACAGCACACAAGTGAAATGTTTAGCAGCCAGCCAAGTCCCGGAGCAGCAGCAGGCTGTGAACAAGGCTGCTATCACCTGCCAGCATACCTATTGCTAGTGAGATGGCACACAAGCATCACAGTGTATCCATTACATCTTGACACAACCAGAAGCCAGTTCAGATCAGGTAAAAAGAACTTACATCTACTGCAGGCATTCATAGAACGGTTTGGGTTGGAAGGGACCTTTTAAGACCATTTAGTTCCAACACCTCCCTCTAGACCAGGTTGCTCAAAGCTCCCTCCTGCCTGGGTTCCTTCAGGGAGGGGGGCATCCACAACCTCACTGTGTCACCTGCCCTTATAAAAGTCCCTCCCCAGTAGGCCCCCTTCAGGTACTGGAAGGCCACTATAAGGCCCCCCCCAGAGCTTTCTCTTCTCCCAGGCAGATCAACACAAGACATGCACAAGCTTTCAAAAGAGTCAATGAATACCTGGAACCAGCATGCACAACAAGCGAAATTCATGTTTAACAGTCTCTGCATTAAACCAGCTGGTTCTTAAGCTCTTTTGATCATCAAAATAATGATTTTTAAACTTGGATTCTACCATTGCTTTTTTAAACCTTATTTGTATTTCATGCTTTATACTTGTAAGAACAGCATTAACTCTTTAAAGTGAGTGGATTTGACTATAGCCATGTTGTGACAGACAACATGCACACAGTTCAATAAACAATCACAAAAACACACCTTTCAAAATAGTCTCAAGAAAACCAAGCTCCCCATTTTACAGAAGTGAGGCTACACAGAGATGGTGCAAACTGTGGATCACACAAAGATCTTCAAAAGGAGCTGGGAAACAAGCACAGCTCTTTTCAAGGCCAACGCATTAGCTATAACGATGATCCTAAGAACTGCACGAATTGGATTTCAGTTGAACTGGCACAAGCACAGCTATATTCCTGTATTCAGATTCACGTGAGTGGGGCCTTCATATCTGGACCTTCTAGTTCTCTTTGTTGCCCAAGATCTTTTCTGCTGGAAAACTACTCAAACACTGCCTTTGAAAGAATATATATGTATGTGTATACATATATACACACACACACACACACACACACACACACTCATACTAGCTTCTTCATAGCTATTCCAAACTCAAATATATTCTTAATGAAATGCTGAACAGTAAGGATTTGTTCAGACTAAAACCTATAGCCATGAAAACGAATCCATGCTCCACGGCATCACAAATATTTAACAGCTCAACCAAGCAGGGTTGTCAACAGGTAACCCAAGAGATAACACAACACCAGCACCGCTCTGCTGCACCTCCCCACGCTCCCTCAAAGGAAAGAAATCTTTTCCTGTTCCGATCTATTTTTACAGTCTGGTGCGTTGGTATTTCTGGATTACTTCCAGGGGTGTTCTTTACCGGGGCATCGTGACCACACACGCCAGATTTCGGGATTATTTTCTCTCTTTCTCGCGGGTTGTTTCCCAGCCCATCTCCTCACCGCCCGCTCCCGTCGCAGCTCCCCTCGCAGCCCGGGGACATCGCGCTGCCCGCCGCAGCTCGGAGCCGTGTCCGCTGTCATCCCACCCCCCCGGCAGCGGGGTTTACCTTTCTCCCTGCTTGCTGTTGGAAGGCGGCGGGTGCAGCACGGTCTGGTTGCCCTCCATCTCCACCACGCACTTGGTGTTCAGCTCCAGCTCTGCAAGGAGAGGCGGTACGGGGCTGCAGCCGGCGGGCGGGCCAGCTCCCCTCTCCCCGCACCCGCTCGGGTCCCCGCTTACCTCTCCTGTTCATGGGCCGGACCCTGACGGCCACTTTCACCTTGGTGTCCGACATCTTTCCCCCACCGTCTGCGCCGGGCGGCCCCGCTCAGCGGCACCGCGCGGCGCCAACGTCCATGCCGGGCCGGGGCGAGGCGGGGGCCGGGGAGGAGGAGGGGGAGAAGGAGGAGGAGAGGGAGGCGGAGGGCGGGCGGCGGCGCAGCCCCAGTCGCCTCCCCGCTCAGCCGGCTCTGGCACTGCCTGCCGACAGCATCGTTTGCATAACCGCCGCCGCCGCCGCCCCGCCAATCCCGGCCGCCATCATCCGCCGCGAGTGCGGCGGGGAGGCGCCGAGCAACATCGGAAAAAGCCGAGCGCCTTCGGCACGGGAAGCGCAGCTACCACGCCTCTCCTCAAGCTACTACCAAAGGAGGGCGAGCGGACGGAGAAAAGGCCGAGCAGCGCCCCGCCGCGGCGAAATAAAGGGAGGAGCGGCGCATGCGCAGGAGGGACGGGAAGCCGGGCATTGCGCCTCGCCCTCACGCTGCCCGCAAGGCACATGACGCTGGCAGGCGGGGCGGCGCTGCTGTCCCAGCACCCTTTAAAAGGCGCAGCGCCCATAGCGCCGTCCTTTTTGGTCTTTGTGAGGATGAGGTGCGGTGTTGTGTGCGATCCCCCACGCTGTACCTCCCCGTGACAACAGCCGTGGTTGGTGAAGACGCGTGTTGTCTTCATGAGACCGCTTTGGGCATCCTGCCGTACTGCCCCTTGCATGGAATTTGGGAAATGGCAATCCGCAGGGAATTCTTGAGCAAAAGATGCACCGCGCTCAAATTCAAAATCTGTGATGTGTCAAATCTCCTCACAGGGCGCTGCTGCTCCAGACGGCGACTGGCGGATTTTCCCAAGCGCCTGCCCAAACGCGGCAGGAAGGAGTCGCGTCCCTTCCCGACCTGTCCGCTCACATCAGGAAAAAGCATTACGAGCTGTAACGCCTGTTACCAGCGCTCCGAGGATGGCTTCGCTTGTAATGGATAAGCCGGGGAAGCTGTTCAGATAAACTGCAGCAGGCTTATGATCTCAGGAGAGCTTTTATTTTAAGTGTCTTGTTAAAGCCTGTTTTGTTTTGTTTTGGTTTTTTTGCCAGAAGTGTTTCCCTAGCTTCAGCAAAATATTTTCCAGCGCTTCAATCCCTATTTTCTAGTGCAACTAAATGGCAGGGATCCAAGTTGCAAAACCAGTGATATCTGCATCATTTTGCTTACTGAAGACAGGCTGAAATCCAGCCGGGATTATTCTGTCTGCTGTGGGGCTAAACTACTGCAAGGAGAACGGGCTAAACGAAACATGATAGGTAGACAGATAGCTGTGCCGAGAAACAGCAGACCTTTCAAAAAGAGGTAGAAAGTGACTGATGCTGCTGCAAAGGCACAGCACAGCAGCCGGATGAGCCTTACAAAGCAGCTCAGAAGAGCTGTGAGCGAACAAGCATGAATGTCAGTCCTGCCGCCCCTGAATGGCCATTGGTCACAGGGATGCTGAAAGGAAATATGAGACATGCAGTCAGCATGGTGAGGGACTTTACCAAATAGAGCCAGCTGTCTGGAGAGCATCGCTAGCAGAAGCTGGCATGCACTGATTTCTTGCTTGTGGAAGTAGACGTCTGGAATTAAGTTTGTTATGAAATGTGGTTCAGCTGGGAAAGATGTTGAAATGAGGCATCCTGTATATTGCTGTATACTATAAGAACCCAGGAGAAAGGAGGCGTTGGCTCAAGATGTAGCATAAGGTCTGTGGAATGGCTCTGCAGAAACTGAGTTCTGCAAAACTTGGATGTTTTTGGGAAAGAGACAAATAGAACAGATGGGAGGAAGAATAATCCCTTCTATCTCTATTTTCCACTTCTCATTGGGAAATTGTATCATTGCAAGATTAAATAAAAACTGAAATTAGCTAATGAGAAACTGAAGATTGTCTTTATGAGACTCCCTAAGATTTTGGCTGTGGGAAGAGTCTTGGGAAGGAATATTTTAACTATTGTTTGGAATAGGTTTGTGAATGATATTCAAACATTTGCATGTATAGAAAGCCAGACATGCAAAAATGTTTGAAAAGATGCAGTCTAATTTGTTCTATCATAGGCTGTAGCTGCTCTTCTCTTCTTGTGAAATCTTTTTTTCTTTATTTTTTTTTAGGTAGTCATGAAAAGGAATTTTTGCACTTTTATTCACATTGACTGCCAAGATCAAGGAGCTGATTCCACCAACTTCTTAAGTTCTCTTCTGAGGAATGCTTATGGCAACACTTGTTACTCCACCTGACAACATCTATTAGGCAGCAGAATGTATTTCTTCTGGTCTCCACCAAATCTTTGGCATTACAGCACTATAGTAAGAGAGTTATGTTCTATGGGCCCCATAAGATCATTAGATGACCCAGAGAGCAATCTGTGCTTGTACACAACTATCCTGTCCTCTGAATGTGCCAGACAGAATAATCAAGTATGAAAAAATGATTAGCTTCTGGTGGTCCTAGATGTTAGAACTGGTATGTATATATAACATGTAGTGTTGGAAAGCGGGTTTTTAAGACCCTGTAAAAGGGAGAAGAAATAATGGACCTGATATAAGAGCCAGGGGGGTATGTGCTAGGATAGGAAATTCTTGGCTGTGAGAGTAGGGGGGGGATTAGATCTGTGGTCAAAAGTCTCAGTAGAAAGGAGTTCATTACTACCATCTCACAAGAAAAGAATAGCAAAAAGCTTTATGAAACCTCGAAGAACGGATGTTCTACCAAGGTCAGACAGCCTCTGCCACCACCCAAAACTGAGCCAGAAACCAAATAACCCAGATGTATTTGCAGATGTGCAAGTAATTATTCTAGGGCAACCATGTTGATCACAGTTAGCTTTTGGGTATAAAACTAAAAAAATATTATCTGATGATGTGATTAGTGGAGCCTGATTTTCTGTGAAAGGATCTGATCAGACAGTATTTAATCTAAAGAGGTATTTAAAATTGATTTATCACAAGCAAATTGATTTGATTCTGCAAGATGCTCTGGGCTGTGCTTACATCTAAGATACAGGTCACTGTGTGACATGGCATTTTGAAACTTTATTAGCATTTAAATAAAAAGTGGAGGTAATATCAGTGATGCTATATTGCTGAGCATCATGCTCACCAACACAAGAGTGTCTTAGTTTTCATAAGTTTGTTTTTAAACCAAAATGCCTCAAGGCTTGCACGCATCATCACAACCTCTGTCGTGGAGATAGCTATCTACTAGGTGGGTATTACAACTGAAATGGGTATTAAGAGAGAAAAAGGTTTCTAAGTGCTGAGCTCGGAGATGATGAGTGTAAGTAGCTCCAATTTCTCTCCTTGCTCGGATATGGGGATGCTGAAGATGAGAGCTTTATATCTGCAATACCCTGGTAAAACAACTCATTCAATTGGATGTATAAATATTTATTTGTATGTGTCTTGTGTGCTCTTCAGTGAAAAATACAGCTACAAAAATGTCACAAACAAGCATACTGATAGCAAGTGCATTCCTGTTTCCCTAGTTTTTACCAGACTTCTATGATGGTCAGTGCATCAATGGACAATGGAAGAGCCACTGATGTCACCTGTCAAAAGTTCAGTAAGGCCTTTGACACTGTCCTGCATAACATCCTTCTCTCTAAATTGGAAATGCAGGGATTTGGTGGGTGGACTGTTCAATGGATGAGGAACTGGTTGCAAATTCTTATCAGCAGTGGTCAGTGGAGATCAGTGACAAATGGTGTCCATCAGTACTGAGACTGATTCTCTTTAATCTTTTGAGTTGGAAGGGACTCTCAAAGATCACCTAGTCCAACTCCCCTGCAATAAAAAGTGACATCTGCAGCTAGGTCAGATTGCTCACAGCCTGCTCCAGCCTGACCTTGACTGTCTCCAATGACAGAGCATCCACCACCTCTCTGGGCAACCACTTCCACTGCCTTTTTTACAATAAAGGTACTGAAGCATTGGAACAGGTTGGCCAGAGAGGTGGTGGATGCCCTGCCCCATCCCTGCATACACTCAAGGTCAGGCTGGGCTGAGCTCTGAGCAACTTGATGTAGCATTAGAAATCCTTGTCTGTTGCTGGGGAGTTGGATTAGATGACCTTTAAAGGTCCCTTCCAACTCAAACAACTCTGTGATTCTATAACTGGGAAAAAACAGTGTCAAATAAAAGCTAAGAAAACATTTTCAAGTCTACTTGAGCCTTTCTAAGCAATTATTATCTTTATTTAAGCCATTGTAAAATCTTAAATTCTCCAGTTTTTTTTCCCTCACAATCTCTGCTTTTAAAGCCTTTACTCTTCCTATTTTCTTCCCCGTTTTTACACAGTTAGTGGTGTCTGAACAGTATGCAGTATCACAGCTTTACAAGAACACTGTAAAAGTAAGCCCATCTCCAGACAGGGAAACAGTCTCAGTAGATGCACAGCAGGATAAACAGTCTTCCAGACATAGCACTTCCAAGTGCAAACATGGAGCAGAAAACTAGGAGATAAATGGAACTCTCAGAACTTGGTGTCCTCCATAAAGCATAGTCAGGAAATACAGAGATGGCATGCTAAAATGCAGCTGCTTTTATTACCTGGTTCACATAGTTGCTTAAAGCAGCAAGTCGGGATGCAAAGAGAGGAATATATATTGTTGTTATCAAATATCTCAGTGTATCTGCATCTGAAAAGCAAGAGAGTGCCTTGTATCAGTAATGACATTGTTTGATGAAAAGTTTTGGATAGTTTGTAATAATTTGAGTTGCTCTGCAATGCACTTACCATACAAAAATGGCAAAGGAAAAGGTCAATTACTTCAATACAAATACTGCAAGCCTACAAATTAAGCTGAACAGTTGAAAACAAGGTAGAGGGGGAAGAAAAATGAAGAAAAAAGAAAAGGTTAAAAAAAAAAAAGAGAGAGAAAGAAAAGAGAAATCAGAGATCTCAAATATGGCTTTTTCTACCTTTATGTTCCAAAAATACTGATATTTAAGTTGATTACTTTTTATCTTAATTTGTATTTTTTTCTGATGAGTAATGGTTTATAAATATTTTGAATTAGACTTCAGTGATAGTTCTTGTTCCTGCATGTAACTG